AGACAAAATGTGAGTTTTTCAACGAGAAGATAACCTTCTGTGGACATGATATCGACAGTCATGGTCTCCACAAGACACCAGAAAAGGTGGAAGCAGTTTTTCAAAGCGCCCCGCCCATGCAATATAGCTGAGGTAAGGTCGTTCCTGGGGCTAGTCAATTACTACAACAGATTCTTGCCCAACCTGTCAACAGTGGTACACCCTTTAAACCCGTTGTTAGAAAACAACCATCAATAGAAATGGACGGAACAATGCGAAACAACATTCCACTCCTCAGAGCAGGTATTAACACATTTATGACCCCAGTCTGCCACTAAGGCTTGCTTGTGATGCATCCCCTGTGGAAATTGGTGCTGTGCTGTCCCACGTGATGAATGATGGGACTAAGTGACCCATTGCTTTTGCTTCCGGTACACTCGCAAAAACTGAACAAAGATACGTGCAAATTGACAGAGAAGCTTAGGCAATAATCTGAGGGGTCAAGAAGTTCCATATGTATTTTTTGACCGATCTTTCACCCTTTACACCGATCATCAGCCGCTAACATTCCTCTTCCATTCGCATAAGAGCATTCTAGTGGTTACGGCATCCAGGCTTCAGCGCTATGCATTATTCCTGGCTAGCTATGACTACCAAATCGAGTACAAGAACACTACAGGGCATAGCAATGCAGATAGCTTTTCCCGGCTACCATTCAAAACCGAAGAGAGAGCAAAAGAAGTTGTGGATCCAGTGAATGGTTTCAATATGATACAATTTGAGCCGTTACCAATCACAGCTGACAACGACCGAAGAGAAACCCAACGAGACCCTGTCTTCAGTCAAGTCCATGAGATAGAGACTAAAGGATGGCTAAGCAGCCATGTTCCTGTACTAGACCCCTTCTACGCTTGCAGGAATGAGATAACAGTACACTCAGGCTGTTGGATGTGGGGAATCAGAGTCATAGTACCCTCAAAACGTCGTCCACAAGTGCATGAAGAACTCCATCAGGGACATCTTGGAGTGGTGAAGATGAAGGCCCTAGCGAGAAGCTACATATGGTGGCCAGGAATCGACAAGGAAATTGAGGAAACCCCGAAGACCTGCTCGGGTTGTCAGCCAATGCAGGCTGAACCTATAACCGCACCTGTACATCCATGGGAATGACCATCACCACCCTGACAGCGAATCCATACTGATTTTGCCGGACCTTTCCTCGGCT